CTTCTGGAAAGGCTTTCAACATGAACCTCCTCCAAAATCTAGACCAGGTTGCTCAGAATGGCGTCCTTTAGTGGAGGTCATCAATGTGGTTTTGGATGCAAAATTCGAATTGCCACACCGCAATAACATAGAACCAAGGATTTGGAGCTACAATTCGAGCAATCAATGGAGGTCAGGATTGTGGCAAGGGCAGTGAGACACACGCACAGAACCATATCAATTATTACAAGGACTTTGCTCACAGTTGGGTGTTTCACCAGGCTGTGCTTAAACAAATGTTTTTAAAAGTTATTATTAATCAACTAATTAGTAATTAATTATAAGTTATGATGATGCTTTTCAACCTAAAGCTTCAAGTTTCCCTGCTAGAACATGAAGGACAAGAAGATTTAGCGAGAGAGGGGGATAGAGCATGTATACCAAGGTGTGGCAATAAAGAGACTTATTTGGAGATCATCTTTGAGTTTTAAGACAACAATCATATTGTTTCTGCAGCTCTAGAAACGATCAGCGACATCAAGTGCTCACTCAACTGTTGATTATCATGGAGTTCTTGTCAATTGCGGCAGTTCTAGTGATTGCTGAGTTATTTGCTCCAGGCTTGGATTTCCAATGTCCAAAAGCCATGTTCTGGTTTGGGGATTCTATTGTCGATACAGAGAATGTTCAAGCAGCAGCTCCGTTTATTAGTGCCGCAGAGTATAAGCCTTATGGCATGACTTTCTTCAGTAAGCCATCAAAGAGATACTCGGATGGTCGTGTGGTTGTCGACTTTTTTGGTAATTGTGTGTGTTGATTAAACAGCATTTGATGTTATTTGTGAATGTTTTTGCAGCGGAGGCTTTTGAGTATGATAGATTCCTGGATCCCATTTTGCAAAGTATTAACTTGAATTATGCCAATGGGGTGAATTTTGCTGTCTCTGGAGCAACTGCTTTGAACACCAGCCTCGAAGTTCCACTGTACCTTCCGGTTCAGATTGACCAGTTTCTGAGGTTCAAGCAGGATGCTTACTACAGCAGACATGGTAAAGGTAATGATTCTTCTCAGACTTTGCAAAGGTAGTTTCATTCATGGATTCTTCTGTAGGGATGTAAAAGCTAGTTCCTTATTATCATCATCTAAAGACTGCTCTGTATGTGGTTGTCATAAGTATTAATGACCTCAATTCCTACTTGTTGGAGCAAAGAAGCCTTGAGAATGTAACAATTGAGGTTGTTCCATATGTTGTGAGAGCCATCTTTCACACATTATAGATACACAAATTCTAGGTTCCAAATGTATAATAGAGATAGTGGGTAGGTTAGGTATGGCCAACCAACCTGATGCATAGTTTAGCTCCTGCTTGCATTCATGTATTTGTTCTGTGTCCAACTTAGGTCTAAGCTCAAGTTCCACACTATACTAGTTGGTGGAGTACTCATATCCTTGCGTTAAACTACCAATATGTTAAAATAGCGCCAAACTTCATTTGACTCCATTTTATGATTCTTGAGCGTATAGTCTAAGGAACGAAGGGACAAAAGCATAGAGCGACTTAGAATAATTTTAGAGCATTTAGCATTCTAATGCCAAAACTAACACACTTTGTGCTTCAATTATTTCGCTCATTAACTCCATATTTAGGAGTTTGGCTCCGTTCCTTTGTTCAATGGCCCAAAACCCTGAAACTTGGGTTCTGCTCCACTATCCTTAGACATGTGACATATGACATGTGATTCTATGGTAAATCACTATAGGATAAAGGGTGAAACCATATGTGTTACAACTTTATTATTGCCTCTATACTTATATTAGATTTTAGCACACATTTCCTACAAGAACTTCTGCCAATGAGTAAGGTGGCCTTGAAGGTCCTTTTAATGATTGAAATACTGAAGAGACTGATGGTTTGAATCCACAATAATTGTTATACTGATAAATGTAGAATTAATATAAATAAAAAACTGTGTTGAATATTTAGTAGTTTTTAAACCTTTTCACTATTTTAGTGGAAGTCTAATCTATATAAATAATGTTGCCATTCCTTCACAACATACAACTCCTTATCTCAAGTAGGCCAATTCCATTGTATAATATCAAACTTTGTGGCTCATGACTGTGAAAGAATGCCTAACTTGAAGCAACAGAACCCTAATAACAATATCACTCATATTATTGCTTATCATTATTTATTAATCACTTTAGCATTTGTTAACCCATTTAGAATAATCCTTACTTTGATGTTGAGCTTTGTGGCAATGAAAACAATTACCCTTTACCTTGTCCATTTCTCCGTGGTCCAAATGAAATTTCTTAGCCTTATTGCCATCTCCATATTTTGAGCCATGCAATGGGTATTTCTTCCCTGAATATGAAACATTGGTAGGCTGGTCATCACATTGACTACCCCATAGACCATCCCATTGACCTGAGTTGACTGAGTTGACTAATGGTTTTGGAGAAAAGATCTAAACCTTAATAATAGCATCAGTCAATGTTTTTAGAAAATCCTTCTTGACCTTTTGGTGCACATCCATTGAGCTCAAACCTTTGATAAAACATTGCACCTTTAACAATTCATTAAAGGTACTTATAAAACTAAGGCAAAGATCATAGAACTGATGGGCATATGCATCCAAAGATAAAGTCCTTTGCCTGATCTCTAGTAGCTGGTTTATGAGATCAACATTTTTAAACTTTTTGACAAATGAAGCGTAAAAAATCTTTTTCAAATCACTTTAAGAAGTTCACTTAGAATTAACTTTGATGTAATTCTTCCACCACAAAGAAGTATGGCCTGTCAGCTTTGTCATAAAAATAAATAAATTTTCACATTATCCTCACAAGGATTGTGAGACCAACAACTTTCCCACAATGTCAACCAAGAATCAACTTCTTATCTATCACAAATATTTAGTGATAACTTCTATTCCACAATACTATAATTCTTGACATGTTTAATGTACCAATGGTAATCACGAATATGAGATTGATTCAACCCTTCAAGGTTCATATGAAATAAGAAATCTTTAATGAAATTGATGGAATCCTTAACCTTCTTAATGACGTTCTGAACCTCAATAATCTAGTGACTATACTATACTACAACACCATCAAGAGTTTTTTCCTCATCATCATGATTGTCATCACTAACACCATACACCTCATCAAGATCTATATCCCACTCATTTGCCATCCCCAAAAAAACATGTTATTCCAATACCTATAAAATTAACAAGGAGTAAACCCTAGGCCAATCTCCCAACCCTTAATGCATTACAGCCTTAAAGCCATAAAATATTCTTGGAATATTCCTGTGATTTGTGTCATATGTTCTGGCAGATTGTAAATGTAATTGCTCTTGGGGATTGGATCAGCCTCTGCAAAAACATCCCATCGAGTAGGTACGGACAGTAAACATAAACCTGTTGGTAACCAATTTGCTATATGCTCTAAAAATATAATACTTATATAGTGAATATTCCATTATCAATCTGTACATACCAAAGTTACCATCAGATTTGAGCTTGCTGTTGCCCACAGATGTCCAAATACTCTCATCTGTTCATTCGAGGCTCCAATCACCTGGGAGAGCAGAGCAAGGACAATGAATGCACAGGCAAACCTTGAGCCCCCTAGCACTAAATTTTGATCCCAAGAGTGAAGAGACAGCACTTTCGTTGCCAGAACCATACTCATACAATGCCGAAGCAATCTGACAGGTCGAAAATAACGAACACAACTTAGAGCACACAAGCACAAACTAAATCAGCATTGATTACTGAGACTATCGTTTGGTGAATCTTTATGCTCTGATGAGAATCAGAGTGAGGTCACTTTGACAACATTTCTCACCGTTGATTCAAATATGAGAGTAATTTTTTGGCCTCTGCAATAAAGAGCTTCGAACCAGTGACCAAAGGACCAGAAAATCATGTGGACTAAACACAAAAAGTAAGGAAAATATAAGTTCAAAAATTGCCGCCAGCCCACGTACCTTGTCCACAAAGAGCTTCATGATGTGATCTCCAAATCTGTTTACTTGAAGACATAGCAAAAATTCCAACGCATTTAAGCTCACCTGCACATTATTGATTACTTAGTGTTGGATTTTTCTGTTAAGAGAGCTTACCGCAAATGTATCCCTTTCAGCTCTTTCGTGGTCTCCCCATATACGGGTGTCAAATATGCGTAGCACGTTCTCAGCTGGACCACCCTCTAGATGACAAAGCTCTAAATGCCACCAGTTATGACTATGCCTGCAAGAGAAAAAACAGAAACCAGAAGTGAGTTTGTATCACATCTATTTGAAAGAAGATCTTCTCAATCGTTAGATTCCAATGGAAACATTCAGCCCTTCATCCTCCAATCTAAAGCAGATTCCTTGGAATGCAATCCTTCCTTTAAGGTGAGCGATGTTCCACGAGGCATAGCGCTACAAGTGAGTCATTCCATCTCAAGCATTGCCTTGTGGACGTTCTCACCAAGTCTGGAGGGCTGGAGGAGGCCGAGGAGCTCATGCATAGCATGCCAGGTCCAGCTCCCTAGCATCCAAGAGAATAAGAAACCAGGCCACCTGTTGCTCGGACAAGCAATCTCCCAAACCCTTGGCTTCGACCAGTTTTGCCCTCCTTGGTCTTCTGCAAGAAGCATATGAATCACTGACAATCCCGTAATTGTGTGGAGGTCTTCATTCTCCCAGTTAACCCTCCCAGAGTGCTTCCACGACGAGTTGCCTAGCTCCACCATTGCCTATGGCTTGAAAAGGAGATTCAATAAGCAAGCTTCGGACTGGATAGAAAGAAATCCATGCACAAGTCCAATGGTGCAGTCTCTGCGAAATAACACAAAACAAGGTTTTTTCAACACAAAGAGCCTCTTGTAACGTGCAAACAAGAAGATCATGAAAGAAAAGCAGAGCAAGAACAACAGATTTCACTTCAACACCCACATTGATTCATGTATGGCTGTATATATATATACAACTTCAATCAAATCGGAAATCACTAGAGATCTAATCACGATTTGGACTGCTTTTGATATGAATTGTCTTGCTTGTCATGTTCATCATTATTCCTACACTCCCCCTTCAAGCTGAGGGCACTTGACACTCCAAGTTGATTCCTTAGCTTGATGAATGTGAGCTCTGAAAGTGGCTTGGTTAGAAGGTCTGCCAATTGATACTGTGAAGGAACATATTCCAGGTGAAGATCTCCAGCTGCTACACGTTCGCGAATGAAGTGATGCTTCATGTCTATATGTTTCGTACAAGCATGAAACATAGGATTCTTTGACATGGCGATTGCACCTCTGCTGTCGCAATGCAGAATGGTCACATCTGATTGCTGTTGATTGAGTTCTCCAAGTGATCGATGAAGCTAGATGATCTCCCTTGCTGCTGTACTGGTAGCTACGTACTCTGCTTCTGCACTGGAAAGAGCAACCATCATTTGCTTCTTGCTTCCCCATGAAACCGGAGCACCAGCAATTGTGCAGCAAATTCTGGAGGTTGAATGTTGTGTATCCAAGCCCAATGCATCACAGTAAGCTTGAAGAACAAGTTTGGACTGATTTGAGCATTTGTAAACCAATCCATGAGCAGCTGTTCCTTTCAAATACCTCAAAACTCTCTTTGCCATCTGCCAATGATAACAACTTGGAGATGTCGGGGCGAGATTGCATGTATCGGTTGAGGAGACCAACAGCAAAGGAGATGTCGGGGCGAGTCATGTTGGCGAGGTAGAGTAGTCCTCCAACAAGTGATCAGTAGACCGAGGGCTGATCAAATAAATCATCCATCTTGCTTATGAACTTGATGCCAGTGATGACTGGTGTAGCCACGGATTTGCAACTTGTCATGTTGAACTGGTTGAGAAGCTTCTTCACATATTGGCGCTGTGTGAGGGTGATTGTCCTGTCTGCTTCATCCCTAACAGCTGCTGTACAGCTCCTAAGTCCTTCATCACAAACCTATCCATGAGCTTGACCTTCACATCCTTCAAAATAGTGTCATTATTGCTGACAATCAAACCATTGTCCACATAAACTGCCATCACAACAAAGTGATCCCCTACTAAAGAAGATATAGATTTCCATTGCTGTTCAACCTCTACATACCAAGACCCGTAAGAAAAGAATCCAAACATTCATACCACTGACAGGAAACTTGCTTAAGGCCATAAAGAGCCTTGTGAAGCTTGCAAACGAGTTTGAAGCGCTGTGATCCAAAAAGCTCAAAGCCTGGGGGTTGCCACATAAATATCTCCTCCTTCAAGTTCCCATTAAGGAAGGCTGTTTTTACGTCTATGTGATGTGCGTGCAAACCAAACTCCACTAAAGCGTTCTGATACTTGTTTGCTTCACAATTGGTGAGAACATCTCATCAAAATCCACTCCAGGAACTTGTGAATATCCTTGAGCAACATGTCTTGCCTTGTAATGCTGAACTATCCATCAGGATTTCTGTGAAGCTTGAACACCCAGTATAGTCTGACAACTTCACATCCTTTAGGAGCTTCCACCAAGTCATAAGTCTGGTTCTCATCAAGAGAATTCAACTCATCTTGCATTGCTGAAATCCACTTATTTGCATCAAGAGTTTGAATTGCCTGCTCAAAGTTGATTGGTTCATAAGCTATTTCTGTTGCTGCAAAAGACCATTGCTTGGGATGAGGTGCTCTGCTTGATCGTCCAGATGATGGCCGCCCATAGTTCTCCATGTTGAATGGTAGATCACGTGTGATTCTGTTGACTTCTCCAGTTCGTGCACGATTGTAAGCTCCTGAGTTTGGACTTCCCGGGAGGTCACCCAACCCAATACTATTCAAACCCAAGGACGCTTAACCCCAAATATCCCAAGACCCTTAACCGATTGGAAAAAGGGGTGCACTCTTATTCATGGGCCCTTTCCCTCTATATTTGAACCCCAACGGATCGTCTCTCGAGTCGTTCCCTTTGGTTGCTTACAACGATGAGCAGCATTGTCATGTTCTTCAGGAAGAACAGATCCAGAGACTAGTGTTGGATGGTCGTCTACTGAAGGAGATGAGGGATAGATGATTGTCAGATCATCGTCATCTTCATCAACATCTTCAACACCATCCCAACTCCATTCTTCTAGAGTCCAGTTCATGTTTTGATCTGAGCTTCCTTCTTCTTGAACGTGATCTTTGTAGAGTGTTCCTTCATTAAAACGAACGTCAGTGCTTACAAAAACAATGATGATGATGATGATGATTACCAGGCTAGTATAGGTGATATCCTTTTGAATTGGAGTCGTATCCAACAAGAAAGGCCAGCTTGCTTCTGCTATGAATTGCTTGAATTTGCTGAAGACTTCATCTTTGTGATGAAGAAAGAAGACGTCCGTGTGCCTCGAGAAATCATTTGTAAATGTCACAAAATACTTCAAGCAAACAGTCACATGGGTCCACAAACATCTGAGTGAACGAGCTGCAAGGGACAAGTGCTTCTAATCACAGCAGGTTTGAAAGTACGACTGGTTTGCTTGCCAAGAACGCAAGTGTGACATTTTGCTGAACTTTGAAGAACGTGGTTGTTGAAGCCATCCACAAGCTCCTGCTTCTGCATACGCCTGATGAGAGGGGGATTGGCATGTGCAAGTCAAGCATGCCAAAGAGAACTATCTGCAATCATGCATATCTCAAGAGCGTTTGATTTTTCTCCAGAAGCTATCTCCTTCTCAAATAGGTTACCACATCTGGAAAATGCATGGACGACCATTTGCAAGAACTTGACATTGATGTTTGGAGAAATTCACATCCAGACCTTCATCCGTAAGCCTGGCTAAAGAAACCAGATTCTTCACTATCTTTGGAACATACCATGCATTCTTCAAGAGCAGAGACTTTCTTCCTAGTGGAACTCGCACATCCCCAGTTGCACGAACAGGTAAAATGTTTCCATCTCCCACATGAATGCACTTCCCTTTTGTAGCATGCAACTGCACAAAGTTCGACCGGCTTTGCATCAGGTGTCTCTCTAAACCTGAATCGATGGTCAATTTTTCATAAACATTTGGAACTGCTACCTTAGATGATGCCACAAGTTCATGGGATGCCAGGACACTACTCCAAGGATTGCCCAGTTGCAACTTGGCTGCAGTGCATGAACATAGGGCTCGCAGCAAATGCTTATTAAGGGGAAACACCAGGTCTAGCATTCCTGTTTGTTCTTGCCCACAAAATAATCTCGAATTGCTGCTTCTTTACCAGAATTCCATGAATTCTGCTGCTGCTGCAGATTTCCCCTAAACCCGCGACCTCTGCCTCATCCTCCTCTTCCATGGCCTCCTCTGCCTTGATGATTTCCAGCCCATAGAGCTGAATGATTGCTTGATGCAGAAACATTTGATGTAAATTGTGACATCAAAACATGGAAAGGCTTCTGATCAAAGTCCACAATCAAACCTCTCGCAGCCAGCTCCAAGCGTAAAGTTTGATCAGCTTGTTCAAAGTTGAGCGACATCATGCGAACGGTAGGGATGAAAGAACTAAAAGAAGAATCTTGCATGGCCTCGCAAAGCGCTAGAACTTTCTTGCTTTTGTTGAACACCGCCAGACTGCCTTCAAGCTCCATCCACAGATCTTGCATCTTGGCGAGGAACTCTTCAAAGTTCTCACCTGGATGAAAACGGGTCTCACGAATGCAAGTCTCGATCATGCTGATCTTGGAGAGGGAAAGAACAGCATACTTGTTGTGAAGATGAGCCCAGATCTCACAAGCACTCTTATGATGCAAACGCATCATAAGGGCATCTGCAAGCTTAGAAAGAATCAATCCTTTTGCTCGAGATTCCTTCTTTTCCAGTGCAGCTTGTTCCCCAAGATCAAGCTGTTGTCGAGCTGCTGCAACAGAGGCACGAATTGCCTCTCTTCATCCACAACTTCTCCTTCCACTGAAGTTGAAGCTCCCAACGCAGCAGGGGCTCACCACGTATGAGCATCTGCAGCAATTGTCAGTGGTGAAACGATTTCTTCTTCCATCTGCAGCACGCGCATCATTTTCTCGGAGGTGTTGAACCCTCTCCTCCCATTAAAGGCAGTGACTCCCTAAAGCAAGATCAATCCAACTTTGCTGCAGCTCATGATGTGAGGCACAAAGAAAGGAGAAGAAAGAATTCAGAAACTGAGCTCTGATACCTACAGAGCAGAAGAAGTCCACAAGAAAATGAAACAAGAACCTGAAGTGTGTCTGGAAGACATCTGGAACGAGTTTCTCTTCCCACTTGGTAGGCAAGTATCTGGACAAGACAAACCACAACCTGCTTGAATCAAAACAGAGCAAACTCCAAACCAAGATGGCAACTGACAAGAAGTTCATTCCCGCGTTTGCTTCCCACAGGGCAGTCACAACAAGCTAAGCTGTTGGACATCACAGCACTCCAAGAAAACGATTACAAGCTCGATCACTCACCTGAGCTGGCAGAGCGTCCTGGAGTGACACACTGCGTTGCCGCTTCCCTACAACCCGAATCAAGCTCTCGCGGCCCTGGAGCATTGTAATGCCGCCTTAGCGGACCGGCCGCTTCCTCCTCGCCCTCCCAATAGACCTCAACCGTACGCACACAGAAAAAAACCATTTCATAGAACTTTTCATCTGCAAACACGACATCCTTGTAGATAACTTATTCATTTTTAGCTAGTAGCTCATCTAAGCTCGAAGAATCTGAACGGCGCGGAAGAAAAACCTGTGATCGGTGGAAGAAGCGGTCGTCCTTCCATAAGTTCTTGCCAACACAATGATCCGGCCATGTTCCATAGGTGCACAAAGTAGTGGCGCCGGGGCAATCCAGTCGCCACTTCCCAGGAAAGATCTTGGGCTGCGAAAACAAGCGTCTGTCCGGCACCACCGGGCGAGCTCAGGATCACCTGGTTGTAAAAGATTTCGTTTCCTGCGGTGGAGAACGCAGCATTGGTGCTGCGAAGCTCCATTGATTCTTGCGTGCATCGAAGACGCTCACCGATTTGCAAGGAGATAGAGCTTGGGACCCAGAGCCCTGCACTCGAATCCTCCCGTGTTGGGCTCATCCTGGCGAGCAAGTCACATTCTGCTATCACATATGCCCACTTTGGGCATCATGACGAGGCAAAGGTGGTGACCTGGACGACAATAGTGAGCACATATGCCCCGATTGACGAGGCAAAGACTTTGTCATGCCGCAACGAGCTCTTCGGGCTTGGCTCGGGCCGAGACATGCATCACGCCAGCCAAATCTTCTTTGGGATGCCTCAGTGCGATGATGGTTAGTCTCTACATGTTCTCCCAACGGACTCCATGCCCACAATGGGGATATGGAGCAAGCAACTGCATTGTTCGATAGGATACTCATCAAGGATGACAGAGTCGCGGGGGATGTTCTTTAAGGTGCATGGAATCCCTCGTGATTCATCTCTTTGGAACTCGCATTTCCTGATCCTCCACCGAGAGGATCTTTAAGATGACGGTGGAGGCCGAGTGGTGATTCTATCACCTCGCAGTCCCGATCGAAGAGCTCTTGAGACGGTGACACTGAGGACTTGGCACTGGCTGTGTGTAGCGCGCAATGGATTCTTGGCAGTCCACAGGGGGTGCTTACCGGTTCTTATGACTTCAAGCAAGGCGGAGCAAGTTGCAGAGGCCTGCGCAGCCGTCTCGGGCCAGGCACTACTCATCTAGGATCGATCATTCATCGTCTTGGAGACCTTGCAAAGTTCCACTGGAACATTAGC